TGGTTTTCTACCCTGCATGGTGCGGCCAAGCCCCTGCCAGCCTCATGGAGCTCTCTTCCGAGCAATCCCTGGCCCGTGCTTCTAGGATCGCTCCGAAGTTTTCTGCATCCTCTACACCAGGAACTGTAAGCTCAGGGAATGTCAGCAGGAAGAAAAGTGCACCCGCGTCAGTAGCACAGGGATGCATTAATCCTAACACAAATCAATTACTGTACGGACTCTACATGTGATTACTCTGCCATTAGTGGTGCTATTTGTAATCACACCAGCTTGCTAGGCTTCAGCAAATATATTATCTGTAATGTATCCCCTTTTGAACCTTTCTAACCCCATTCGAGGCAATCGCCAGGACAGTTCCTCACAGCGGCGGCCTCGCAGCGCCTCCTGACTCTGGGCATGCTGGGAAAGGAGAGGTCCTCATGGCAGCGTGGCTTCCATTGCCACTGCTTTGAGCCTGGAGCCAAGAAAAAGAAGAGAGAGGCTCTAGGTTTCTCACTTGCACGTCCTCCTTTGAAAACCAAGACACTTATTGTTCATAATTTAAAATCCTGCCTAACTCTGGGAGCATTAGAATTCCTAGACTATGACTGAGTATTAGTGTGCGTCTGCTTTAAATGTCAAGAGAGTCTTTAATAACAACATGTGAGGAATGTTAAGATGGTGACAGAGCACAATGAAAGTAGGGAAATTCTTCCACTGGGATGAAATGAGCCATAGATTGCCCACCACCTGAATGCCGCAGTGGTGGTAAAGAAATCCTTTAAAAGCTTTCACTGGGGCTAGATCGTGAAAGCGTGTGCATTACCATAGTTTGATAAAATGGGTCAAAAATAACCAAATGCTCAGTTTGGTAGAAGAATGTCAGTTCTGTTCCTTCCTTCCAGTTGTGGCGCCCCTTGTCCCTCCCCCCTCCCCCCCACTGGCTGGTTTTCTTCTTTAGATCAGATGTGCATTAGAGGACCTGTGTAGCTGGTCATATCTTGCCTGCGTAACTAAATACACTCTGAGTCAAGCCGGTCTGTTTGGATCATCACTGTCTACAAAACCAAACTTGAGCGTTAGCAAGTTTAGGTGAGGCTCTTGGTGGATAAATGTGGGATGTTGCTGTATTGGAAGTATCCAGATTGGCCTACTCCTAAGTTGAATGCCTGTTGAAACTACATATCCCCCACCTTTTTCCTGAGGTTCTGCCTCAGGAGTTCAGTGGTTGGCAGGGGAGGCAAATCTGGTCTCGCTTTTTATCCAAGGTGATCCAGTGTGGGAAAATCGGAGCAAGCATCATGCAGGCAGGCTTCTGGTCCACGTCCTCCCTTTCCTGGCTCCAGGCCCTCCGACGTGTCCACCCTGTGGGCCTCGGTTTCTTCTACTATAAGTCTTAGAAACAAAACCAGGGGACTTCAAAGAGCCACGACCCTCATTGCTCCTGAAGCATCAGATGAGGGGCTCGGCCCCTTCTTCTCGTCTGACATCAGTAATTCTAGCATCTGCACACATAGAAAAACCATTTGTTTTAGCAGAATGTTGTTTCTCATGAGTGGGAACCACCAAATTGGCCTTAAAATGATTAGTCCTTCTGACAGCATATAAAATGATGATGTTAAATGAACCCAAAAGCTCGTTCCCTTTTTCCTGCTAAAAGAATGAGTTTAATCTTCTTAGTTTTTATCTTTGAAGATATTGAGTGGAGCTCCTAGCCTTCGGCAGTTATCAGTGAGTCCGGAGCAGTGCACAAGTTCTGATCCTTCGCAGCCTGGACTTCTGAAACCTAATTTGAAGCCACGGCTGATAGAAGAGGGGATGACCTATATCAGCCAAGGGGGAGACACAGCTGCCCAGGCTGAGGGGAAAATACAGGAAGAACTGAGAGAGATACACCATCTTCCCTATGCTTTCTCCTCCATCCTTTAAAACATGAAAAGTATTTTTCTTCCTAGTTAGCCTAACTGGAAACTCCATGGCACCCGTGTTAACATGGAGCCACATTCCAACCGTAGAGTCGGTCAGCAGAAGTGAGCCAGGCTCAACAAACAAGAACAGATGTGTTGCGCGCTGGTGGAGCACGAGCTGCCATGCTAAGCCTGTCGTGTGCAAGTGCGCATCTCCTTGTCAGAAAAGCCCTGCAGACTGCTGAGATGGTTACTCCATATTGAAGAGAAACTGAATGCTGAAAAGGTCCGTTACATGACGTGCCCGGAGTCGCGGAGCCCAAATCCGAACACAGCCCAGTGTGACTGTGGTGCCCACGTCTTTAACTGTTTTCACTCTGCTATCATACTGCAGAATGGGTGAAGGAACTCGGTAATTAAAGCAGTCCCCGCACAGGCAGCTCCTCCTAATGTGGAGCCTGTTGTTCTTCCTTTTATCCCAGATACTCATTTCATACTCACCAGGAAAGCTTTTACAGAGTCATTCTGCGTTGCTATCACCGCATAAAATGTTGTTTCATTTACCTACCAAATTTTTACTTGACCTTTGGACTGAATTCCTCAGTCCGCCTCTCTCTGCTTTTCACGGGATTCACAATGTGGGAGGGAGTGCTGGAATACACTTGCTCATATTAAATGTTGGTATTCTCATATTCTAATAATGAAATGATGCCGTGAATATGGATGGGGGTGGTGAGCTCATGTAATGATGGCATTAAAAGTAATCAAGAAGCTGAATGCTTTCTGAAGGGCCAGTGAGTATTACAAATGCAAGACAGCCGTTGTGGAGAGAGGATGTGGTTTCAAAGGGTGTGAATGTTTAGCCTTTTTTTTGGGGGGGGGGCGCTAAAAACACAGAAAGTAAATTTGGCAAGATTCCCTCTCCCAATCCTCCACCCCGCCCCCCCCCCCGTAATTGTTAAAACTGCTTGTATTAGAGGTGTAATTGATTAACAGTTTAAAACTCATCTGAGAAATATGATATTACTGTTGACTTGCTGTAACCAAAAAGTTGGATTTTTGCCTTTTTTATGTCACCTTGACCATCTTGTAGAAAAGCAGAACTAGAATGGTAAAATTGAGACTCCTGGATAATTCTCAGGATGGATGATGAATTCTAAGGAATGTTCTGCTGGGAAAATAAGAGAATGTTACTTATGGCAGTTACCCCAGAAGGTGATGGATGTGGCTGTGTTTACACATCCTAGGTGTGTGTTTGCAGTGTGCTGTGTCCACCTTGAACTGAAAAGTAGAAGGTCATCCTGACAGACCTTTAAAGGGAACATGGAGAAAATGATCAATTTTGATGCTAGGAATTGGGATTTGTCTTTTACCAAACTTCGTCTGCAATTGCTACATAAATACTGTTTTTCCCCAAATTAAGTCACAATTAATATTCAGCAGACTCTTCAGTAAATGTCACCTCTCACCCTTTAATTTGGGTTGTTCACATGGCAGATTACTTCTTGTTTTTAAATAGAGAGCAACATATATGCCTCCATTCCTTCTGCCTGAGGATTTTTTTAAAGCAAAACCTTTTTCTGAAATCTAAGAATATTTTTGTTTTGACACCAGAAAGCTTAGGACACTTGTATAAAAAAAAAAAACAAATAACTGTAGAAAAATGCCATTCCCAAGGTTTTAATTGTCCAAGACACTTTGGGACACTAAATTCCTTTAGCATTATGTGTTCAGAGAAATCTTTTAGTTTGGCTGTTCAATAACTTACTAAAGAACAGAGGATGAATAACACAGAGTGGCTCCTAATATGGTATCGTTTTCATTTCCTGTTTGTGGAAAGATAAATGCTAACACTGTAAGGCTTTTTTTTTTTTTCCTTTTCTTAATTTATTCCTCCCTGAACCACAAGGGAATAAAAAGAAAGAAATCAAATGTGATAGGGCTTGAGACTGAGTCATCAGTTGGGATGAGCGGAAAGATGCTTCTCTTCGCCTTTTCTGCCCTTTCTCTTTTTCTCTTCCAACCCCAACTCCTGACCGCCTTTCTCCTTAAAAAGAAGTATTAAAACAGTGGAGGCATATTTGATTTTTTATTGTGGAATAATCTTAGACTTACTAAATTAATTGAATTTTAAGATAATTTAACTTGACACAGAAGAAATGTGACCCTCCTCAACTCCAAGGTATCATTTTGGACAAACAATCTTTAAAAGTACTGAAATCAGACAGTATGTGTTTCCCATCTCCCCCCTTGCCTGTCCCTCCACCAATTTATCTCTTGTACTTTTTTCCTAAATACCAAAGCTGTTCTCTTAAGTATACGTTAATCTTCTGAGGGTATATTTTTCACTTCTTTCTCAGAAGTAATCATGATATGTCTCCTATGTCCGGCTGCTTTGAACTACTGAAAATACCATGTTAAAACAATCCACAGCATAGAATGTGGAATCCACTTAGTACTTGAAAGCCTACTGTGTGCATCCAATTAGAGTCTCTGTGACTTCAGAAGATACTGTGTTTATAGAGTGATGAGACTTACTCAAGTGAAAATGGCATATAGCAGATATACAAGTATTGAATAAATGAATGAGTGAACTTATTCTCTCCATTCATTTGCACTCTTGCAGCCCTATTCCTGCCTTGCTGATATCACTAGCCAGCACTGTCTTAATCTGTGCCTACCTGTTAAGAAAGAGGAAGCTAATTTTGCATAAATATATCCATCTGTCTGGTTTTTCTTCCACAACCACAACAGATGCAGTTATGAGTTTGAGCTACCCAGCTCATTTTCCTTTGGCTTCTTCAGGTTGGTTAATAGGCATGATTCACGTTTGTCTTTTAGCTGTCCACATTACATGGAACTCCTTGGTGCCAGCAGGTCTAGAACTTCCCAGTTAAAGTCTCCTGCATCTTGTGTTGAGAAATCTCACACCTACACCTCCAGTTAGTTGCAGTTTGGCAACGGTCGTATAGATTTCAAAAATGATGAAGCCATGAAAATGAGTTTTGTCATGTGTTATGGTGCCACAGTTCGTTGGAATATGTATCATTTGAGGTGTTAAAATAGTCATGCATCTGTATTCAGAGAAATTAAACAGCATTTTCTTCCTACTAGCTTGCAAAAGACAAAGAACGCCTGCAAGCCATGATGACCCACCTGCACGTGAAGTCTACAGAACCCAAAGCTGCCCCTCAGCCCGTAAGTACTCATCCATCAAGGGGTGCAAATCAGAACCAACATCCAGTCCTTTTGTGCCTCTTCACTCCAAGCACAGGGAGGGGGCAGCCTGCTTTTGTGTATTTGAGTGTTGAAGGTCTCTGGTGGTTGCCTTTTGTGATGACGGCCGTGAGCTGGGCATCTGGGAAGATGCGGGATGATTCAGAAATGGTCCTTGCCCACGAGGCCCAGGCAGCCGGCTCTTCCTTGGGATGGAATGACTGGTGCTAAACCAAAGTACTGAAGTATGTCATGAGAACTCACTGGAAAAAGAAAACCTGTGTGACTGGTAGGAGTGCAGAGAAGGCAGCCAGAACATCACAGCAGAGAAAAGCAGCGATTCAGCCTGGGTAAGACAAGAGCCCATGCTGTATGAGAAAAGGAGAAAGGAACAATGCAGTTTCACTGTAACAGAGGAAAAAATGGAATACATACTGTCAGAATAGCTAGAGGCTAAATTATGGAGAGCATCTAGGGATTGCCAAGGAGTCTGGAAGTGAAAATTGCCCCTTCACAGTTAGGGGACCAAACGTGGTATACTGAGATGACATTTAATTTTTAGGACTCTCTTCTTTCTTGCCCCATTCCCTTTTACCAGGCCTTAAAGGATGCCACTCCAGTTCAGGCAATTAATATCAAAGCAGAAGGCTGATACCTGAACCCCCAATCCTGTCTTAGACCTCATTCCTTGTAATAAATTGAGCTCTTTAACTGTTGTATTTCTCATCTTCTTATGTTGGTTAAAAATCTAGGAGCTTTAGCTGATTATTCAAAATGGAGACAGTGCTTTGCTTCTTGATTTTAAGATTTGTAAAATTTAAAGGTACGCTGCCTTTATTTGATTTTGCTTGGAGTCACTGTGTGAAAATTAATTGAGCGTTGACAATCTATAGTTAGTACCGGCAATTTTAATCAATATGCAATGATGCAGCATAATGGCAAAGTATTGGTTTATCTGTTTTGACTGATTTTTTTCTATAAATAAAGCAAACATACACCCATATATGTATGATTTATGGTGATAGAAATAAAACGGAGTCAGACTATTAACCCAGCAAATATGGTAGCCTGCCAAGATGCAGTTGGCAGACAAAATTAATGTCTGAAACAGAACACATTACTGAGATATAGGACATAAAATCATTAAACACTTCGCGCATCCATTTCTACTAGGAAAGAGGTCTTCGTTTCCATGTATTTCACAGTAAATGGCTGTAGGACTGGATATATAGGCTACCAGAAAGAAAGAAAAAAAAGGAACCAGGTCGTATAGTATTACAGAATCAGTAGTAGTCGCCTGTGCTGCTCCTGTCAGGCCCTCCTTTGAAGAAGGGTACTGGACCATACGTGAATCCAGGTAAGCAAGGTGGTGGCACCCCAAGATGACGTGGTTCACTTCACAAACAGGCACGCCTGATGGCAAAGGGCGCTGCGCACCGCGGAACCCTCTGAAGGTCTTCCAGTGCCTTTGGTGAGACCTGTTTTTCCTGTGATGAAGGATTTGAGTTCCTGCATCTAGCAACAAGGGAGAGAACGAGATTATCTCCTTCCTCCATGGATTAAACACGTTGACGATAGAACAGATGTTGTACTCAGCACTCTGGCGTTGGAAATGTTTTGTATTATGGGGCTCTTTGTGGGGAGGAGGAGAGGTACATCTGAAGACAAGAAACTGCAGAACACAGGAGGGCACCCGGCAAGCGATGGGGCTGGGTGTTGGCAGGGAGCAGCACCATGTTTGTAAGTCCACACAGGCCAGTGTTAAGCAGCCAGTAAACAGGGAAAAGCAGCTCTGAGGGGAAACGAACAGGGAAGGAAGGTTTGTCTTGATTAGTATTTTTTAAAAAAGTGTTTTACATTCTAGAAAATTATAACTTTGAAGGGGACCTCCTACTAAATTTATTTTTAACTGCTCTATTGAAAATTCTCTACCACTAGTCAACATTATCTCTTAGTAGCTCAGCACAGTATTTCTTTATTAAAAGAAATAGGCACGAATATTTTTGACTGAAAAATTAATAGCTTTTGAATTCATACACAGCAGGTTTTCTTTTGCAAAGAAGTCCAATATCGCTGCACAGCACTTCTATAACCATTTATTTAGAGTCCAAGTCAAACCTTTGACAGCTAGAGCAGCGCTACAAGCCAATATAAAGAACTCCAAGATGTAAACCAACAATAGGCCGTCTGTGTGAGGTTTGCCATTGTCAAATACATAGATTGTTTGGATTAGTTTATGTAAATGTACTGTTGTATTACCCTTTGAAAAAAAAAAAGATCACATTTGTGTATGAAAAGTGGTTCCCTTCACAGGCAGCATTATAAATTCCTTATCCTTTAACTTACATGTAAGAAGTAAAAATTGGTGCCTGACAAGCAGATATTGTGTGACACTCTGTTGTCGGAGTGAACCTGCCTTCTTTTCATTTATTGGAAAATAGAAAATTTTTATTATAGATACCATCTTATAAATCAGGAATTATTAAAATACGTATAGGTGAGGCATTGGAAAATTAATTATAAAAAGTAGACATGTAATGTTTCGCATAAATTTTCACTTTCTTGGCCAAAAAAAATAAAAAAAGGGCTGGGGGAGAGGCACATACATTCAGCAGGTCCTTGATGCCTTTAACTTGAGGGGCCCAGAGCTATCTGGTGACTGATTCTAATGTGCAACATATTCCCAATAGCCTGGGATTTATTTATCCCACCCTAAATAATAGAATGCCTGGTGTGTGTTTGAATGAGTAGCCTCCTAGAATCTGTGATTTGCAACAAGCAGTCATTGGGATTGAAATCTAACCATAGATGGGGACTTTCATGTTACAACCTTGCCAGTAAGTTTATGAAGTTTTTCTTTTTCCATTTCTGTTTAAAAGGAACCTCGTTGTTTATTTAAAAATTCTTAGTCACTAAGTGATAGAATGCTTTGCTGTAAACGTTGTCTTTCACTAAATGCCATTTGGGTGGTAAGTGTCATTCGTTTTATCCAATCCTCCGACCAGGGAAACTGCCAGAACGTTCTTGCACGGCTCTTACATCAGCTCAGGATGCGTCTTCTGGATCCTGTGTGGAACTCAAGTTCAGATTTGGAGAGTTAGAGGATATGCTCATCTTGGGACAGTGCCCAAGTGTTTAGATGCGGATCTGAGCTTACCCCCACGCTATGCAGAAGTGTGGGGTGCCCTGGAAATGGGGGTTCATAGCCTTCCTGTCCATCCAGCTCCCCCAAGAGTGTCTCTTCCTGCTGGCCATCACATTTTTCTTTTTTAAGATTATTTATTTATTTGAAAGGCAGAGTTACAGAGAGACAGAGTGAAAGAGAGAGGTCTTCATCTGTTGGTTCATTCCCCAGATGGCCACAATGGCTGGAGTACACTGATCCCAAGCCAGGAGCCAGGAGCTTCTTCTGGTTCTCCCAGGCGGGTGCAGGGGCCCAAGGAGGTGGGCCATCTTCTACTGCTTTCCCAGGCCACAGCAGAGAGCTAGGTTAGAAGTGGAGCAGCCAGGACTTGAACTGGCACCCATGTGGGAGGCTGACACTGCAGGCGGTGGCTTTTCCCGGTACGCCACAGTCACATCTTTGAAACCTCAAAAAACTCTTCTCAGAATCCTACCCCAGACTCAGTGCAGGTTCTCTGTGGGTAGCAGATTCCCGCATTAAGAATCCAGCTGTTCCTTCTGCACACATTCACTGAGTACGCTCCCTCCTGAACACAAAGAGCAATCAACTGAGAGAGCTCCTGCCAGGGAGGTGCGTGGGGTCTTGTGGAACAGCATAGCCAATCGCCACACATACACACACACACACGCATACTCACACAGTCTCTGGCCACCGACTGTGCTGCCTGTAAGGAAGACAGCTGACCTGGAATGGGAGCCTTCTGGGAGAAGGGGCAGGTCAGCTGAGACCTGAAAGATGACTAGTAAGGACTGGGCTTCACGGATCCCTCCCTGGGTGAAGTGAGGTCTGCATACCTGTGTTTTCGAGGAAGGATGCTGGGAGGGAAGATGGGTCAAGAGGATGAGTGTGGGGGAAGGAAAGGACTTGCCGAGATCAGCTAAGATCAACTTCTCATGCGTAATTTTATTAAGGCTGGGCCCTCTATGGAAAGGATATGGAAAAGTCTACCGAGCAGCAGTAAGTTCTAGCAGCTGTATATATGGAGCGGAAAAGCGATTCTTGAAGCACTTCTTCTTAGAAGTGCTAAAATTGCTGTGTTTTTAAGTCTTAAAAGATTCTACTGTTCTCTATGGAAAGGGAAGTGAAAGCAAAAAACAAGACAATAGTAAAGTGCCCTAATGAAAGTAATTAGTATTCTTTTGTTCCAAACTTGGGAACATCCTGAAAGTAAACATCAGGAGGTTAATGTCTCCATGGAGATTTTGCTGAGTTCAAGAGGAGGTGTAACAACAACAACAACAAGAAACCTGTCTGAGCTATGACTTCATTAAGTTAAAGATTTCTTAAAAAGTTTCACTGCCATTATGTCAGGGAAACACGTAAATCATAGCTCATTGTACTGGGTTCAAGAGGTGCAGGCCTTGCTCTAGGGTAGTTCTGCACATCAGAGAACAAGCTCTTGATCCCGAAGAAACCACATTCTTCACATTCGGTGGGCAGGTAATTACGGTGTGGGTAGTGTATCCTTCGTTATGAAAATATTATAAAACATATTTGGAATGAAATGCAGTATTAGATTTTCCCTTTTACACATTTTCTTTGACTCTAACCATAGCAATTAGGGCTGCTCTGAAATTGTTTTTAGCTACTAGAAAAACAAAGCACCACCCTCTGAAAAAAAGGGGTCTTTTTAACTCTTCAAGGAATGGCCGATCGTTTGGGCTGCCGGGGCCTTGCTTTCGAGTTGGAGAAATAATATTAGACAGTCATAAAGAGAGATTCCTAAGCAGAACACACAAACGCTGCTTTATGGACTGGCTTTCCTTGAGTTTCTCCCTCGTCAGCTCAGCACAAGCTTTTTTGGTTTTGTTTGTAGTGTAGTGTCACTGCCAGTTGCGCCACCTTCTGAGTCTTCCGCAGGGCCAAGCAAGATAGGAAAAGGAGGGCTCCTCCCCAGGGCCGTCCAGCTGCCACCCACCCTCCTGTCCACCCCCGGGCTGGTCACCTCCCGGCAGCCTCGGAAAGGCCGTCTCTGAACTCGGTGATTCATGCCTAGAAATGCCACCATACACTGCAAGCAGGGCTTGAGCCACTTGGGCCAGTAAAACCAACAGTAGAAAAACAAGTCCTGGGAGCCTGAAAGTCCCTACAATGCCGCCGTGTCCCTTGGTGTTTTGGTTTCGTGTTTGTCTTTTGTTCTCAGAATCAGTTTTCATGTGAGGCAAGAGCATAAACAAAAATAAAAATGAGTTCTTAGGGGAATACTTACAACAAGTCTGTTTCTGTCTGGGGTTTACATCAGTGGCTTATTTATTTTTTTTAATGTGAGTGACTCATCTTTAAATGGGCGAGAGATTACTGTTAAAAACTAGAGACTAATTTTCTTTTTTCTTAAGGATCAAGCCCAATATTGGGTAGCTGATAGAGTTCAAATAGTTCGATGGCTAAGATTTCCAAGATAGTCCTTCTGTGACTGACTTGAGGGGAAAGATGATGCTTGAAAGCCCAAATAAATTTAAAAAATAAAAGCCTCCGGCAATTTTAAGTGACATAAGAATTTAACTTTTGGCCAGAGTTTCAAAGAGATTATCTTTGCTGAAATCATCACATGATGGAAAGTTGCCATGTAGAAAATATCAGAGTTACTAACTATTCTAAACATAGCAATTTCTTTTTAAGTAGAAAATGAACACAGTAAGAAAAATAGGCTTTCCATCAGGAAAAGAAACCTCCCAGTCCAGTCCCTTCCTGCTCCCTGCCCCAGAAAACATAATCTTTTAAAACCCTAACGACAGACACACGAAGCACACATGCTTTCATTTCTAATTGATGATTTTATTAAGATTTAATAGTTTACAATTAAGATGAATATTTCAAGATTATAGCAAAACCCACACCGTTCCCGATGTGCTCTTTTGTTCTAAATCTGTCATTAATGTTTTTGGTCCACTTTTTTTTTCCAGAGAGAACTTAATTAAAAGAGCAGGTTTGGTTGGCACACAAAGCCTGTTTTGAATCCTTCCCCGTGCAGGCTCCATTCCCTCTCCCTTCCTCTCCCTCTCCGAAGATGGATTCTCCTCAAGACAAGCACATGATCATCAAACGAAAGCTTAAAAGTTAAGAAACTTCTATAGCAGTTGACAAGGTTGACATTTCATTAACTTGTTGGTTCAGCCTTCAAATGATTTTGTGTGGCAAAGCACCCACTATTTGGAGTTTACAGCTTTTTGTCCTTCCTTCCCTCACAGACTACAGTCATGTTTAATTTGGAATCTTGGCTCCTTTGGCAAATTAGCAATTAGAACAATTTTGTGGGAATATGTATATGTGTCATTAGTTTTCCTGCAAATTAATAGCGAGGGCAGAGGTCAGGCAGAAATTTTCCACTTGACTGCAGCTCCTCTATTGAGACTTGGCACTTGATTTTGGAATGGCCACAGCTGCTCTCAGCCACCCTCTTCCTCCAGGAACTGTCTTTTAATTAGTTTACCTCATAGCCATCATTACAAATATTACTGCCTCCCCTCCTCGAAATAAAATTACTGTTTCTACAAAATATTCCAGTGACATCTTGCACCACTGCACATGGATGGTGGGGTCACCCGAATGCAGCATTTAATCATTAGATCACCTCCATCCGCGTCTCCTAATTAGAGTCCTTACAATACATTTTTATCTGGTAATTAGCTGAGATTGGCTGCTTCCTCTGTGGCTTATTAGAGACAGCCCAGCAGTGGGTGTGAATCATGGTGTCATTTGTCAAGCCTGGTAAACCCCCTCTCTGCTCTCTTCTGGCTCAGTGTTTATTTCCACTACCTAGGTGCCAAAGCACCCAGAAGATTCTTCCTCATCTTTCTCCTTGTCGACTGCTAACCTGGAGGGATTTTTTTTTTCTGCTACTTTTGTTGGTAGCAATAGTCCTAGTGCTGAGACCTTTGTAAAAACGTACAAGACTCAAATTCTTTTTGCATTTGATTGATACTGGGGATTTGTCTGTTGGTCTTAGATATCAGTACCCCCCAAAATGAGTCTGCCCCAGCCTCATGTTGCCATGACTTTATTTCTGACACACTAGATGTGGTGATCTTCCTCACAAAACTGGAACAGACGTGCATGTTCTTTAAAGGCAGAGAGAGAGATCTGCTGGCTTACTCCCCACATGCTGGCAGTAGCTGGGGGTGGGGAGGGAGATGGGGGGAGGTGAGGGGAGGCAGGCCAGGCTTCAGCCGGGAACTCCATCCAGGTCTCCCATGTGGGTGGCAGGCACAAAAGTACTTGAGCCATCACTTACTGCCTCCCAGAGTGCGCACACGGCAGGAAGCAGGATCGGAAGCAGAGATAGGACTTGAGCCCAGGCACGCTGATAGGGGTGGGCATCCCAAGCTGTGGCATACTCACTATGCCCACCTCCATATTTGTTAAGGACATTTATAGCTAATTTTCACTACATTTTTAAGGTGGCCACAATGTTTAGGATCCTGTTCTTAAGCTGAAAAGAGAAGCCAAGAAGTGGAATCAGTCCTGGGAATATTTTTGTGGTTATCGTGTACATTTGTCTTTGACCAATCTCTGCTTTTAATGGTGAGCTCTTCAAGGATATCAATCATGTGTTTTATTCCTGTTTCCATTATTACAGGACCTTCTGACTTATATTTGCTCAGTAATACTTTTTGAATGTTATTTGTAACAGAGATAATAGCTAGTCATTGAATCCTTTTCACAAATGAGCACACAGAGAAGTCAAACCAGTTAGTGTTTGTTTTTCCCATTAACCAAGTATAAGATGATCAATCTGGACAAGAACCACACAAGTTGCGGTTTGACTGTGGGTTTGAGTTGGGAACATGAGAAAGCTTTTTAATCTCTCCAAGCCTCAGTTTGCTTATCTCTAAAATGTGGGGAAGAACACCTCAAATCAGCGATGGTATGAGAAAGGAAAGAAACCACCAAGTGGCAGGTGTTCTAAACCAGGACTCTGGAACTGATCTCCGTGACTCCACAGCAGCGTCTGAATGATAAAGGTTATGTGCTTAGGACCTTTCTGCATGAGTCTTGTCCACCCATTGCTCGTGCTGATGTGTTCTCGTACTTTTCTCGGGCCTGGTCAGTGAAGAAGGCCCGTGTCCAAGACCGGGTCAGCCCCAACTCCAGTCGGTGGGCTCCCCAGCACCGCCCCACTACACTGTTGTTAGCACTTAGTTTGCGAATGTGTGCCATGAAGTCAGGTTGCCAGCTCGATTGAAAAGAGCAACTCCGAGCATATGCCCAGCCTGCTGGGGGATCTGTGAAGGTAGTGCCATCTCCGTAGCCTGCTGTCCTCCGCACTGAGGTCTGCGGTTTCTGCTCAGGGAACAATCCAGGCTGAAGATAAGAAGGAAAGCACAACTCAAGGTTCTCGACTGCCAGCATCATGTTTACACTTCCCATTAATATTTCCTCAGCTATATTTGATTGTCGTTTTCTTCCCTTGGAACTCCCCTCATTGAGGATTCTGCTGGCCTTTTCACTATTAGAGTATGGAGTAAGAATCGTCTCCACCAGTGGAACCCTTTGAAGCTCTTCATTGGTTGTGGTCTCAGAGGAATCTCATTTGGAGTACCTTACACAAACAGTGCCTGTACTTCAAACTGAATGTAGCGGTGGTGAAATCCCGACTGCTTACGGGAATGCAAAATCCTCAGTGAGACAAGGTTACGAAGGGCTGAAGATTCGTGGATTTAGGGGAGGTTCTATGTATCTAAGATAACAATTCTGTGCAAATGGTAACAAATACGCTAAAAACGGTTCTTCAGCATTTCCAGGCTTAACATAATATTTCTGTTGCAACAAAATTTGAAAAAGGGCTATTCCTTCTAGTATTCATAGAAATAGCACTTGAAGGCAAAGGTAAAATAGATAAATCAAAATAGCATTCATTTTCTTCAATACTATTCCTAGTAAATAATACTCATTTCCTTACTTAATGTAGACTGTTTCATTTTACAGCCTGTTCACAATTTAAAGGGAAATTTTTTTTTAAACCTAACAATTCTGGATTTCTCATTTGCCACCTTTTAAAATGAATAGATTCTGATCCTATATTGATAGAGGCTAATGAAGATTACACAAAAAGCTTTAAAATACCAATGTCTGCCAGCTGATTGGCACAGACCTGATAAGCCATCATTTCAATCTATTTAATATGAGATATAGGCCATTCCCATCATCAGTGAAATCTCTATGCTGGAATTGAGTAGTTTATCCTTGTGCTGTCCAGTGTGGTAGCTACAAGGTCACGTGACATTGTTTTGATTCATCAGGGTTTAATTTTAATTACAATTAAGTAAAAATGGCTTTTCAGATGTGCCAGCCCAGAACAGAAAGTTATTTTCTGTTGGACTGCCCAGGTCCAACAGAAATGCATTCCAAGTGGTGTTCCCTCAAATACTTGTCTTTGCTGGTGGCTCTGAGAACTCCATCTCCCTCTCGGAGGCTTAGCATGCTTAGTAGGCTATTAAAGAAGGTGAGATGTCACGATTACAGACCCGTCGGTGCTGCAAAGCTTCATAATTTCACTAGGCTGGGTAACCCCTCTGTGTCTGTCAACACCCGTTTAGCAGCTTTCGGAAAACACCTGTCTCACTGCAAAGAGGGGAGAACAATGCAAGAAGCCTCTCAGAGTAAATACTGAAATGAATTGTTTCCACACTCGCCTTGCTTTTCGGTTGATTGTAGACATAGCTACTTAGAAAAATAACACTGCCAGGCGTCCACTGTCTTACTCTTGCTTTCTTGGTTACTGTGTTTTCCTCAAGGTCTTCCTAATCAGTGTTCTTTCCCTCGCAGCTGAATCTGGTGTCAAGCGTCACGCTCTCCAAGTCCGCATCAGAGGCTTCTCCACAGAGCTTACCTCATACTCCAACGACCCCCACCGCCCCCCTCACTCCCGTCACCCAAGGCCCCTCTGTCATCACCACCACCAGCATGCACACGGTGGGGCCCATCCGCAGGCGGTACTCAGACAAATACAACGTGCCCATTTCTTCAGGTAGCTACTCCATGTTTGCCTCGTGTCAAAGTATAATCTGCAATTCTTGTTGATCAGCCTCTTTTTAAAAAGTGATAATTAATAGGACAATGATTCTTATTTAGCAGATATTGCGCAGAACCAAGAATTTTATAAGAACGCAGAAGTTAGACCACCATTTACATATGCATCTTTAATTAGGCAGGTAAGTAAATAATGCGGTTTGTGAAACTATATCAAAAGGTGTACGTGTACGTGGATATATTATATTGATGAAGTAGATTTAAAACCGTTTAGTATGCAAGCATGCTAAAACCTTTTCTATAAGGTTTTTTAAAACTGCAATATATAACATAATTGCTTTTGATTAAGTATTACAATACGATGTGATTATTAGGAAATTCATTTCACACAACAGTGAAAATGAGCCTGTTTAAAGATGGCAAGTCAATTATCACAAGCTACAGTAATCTCTGATCCCTAGAATTAATCTGAGCTCTAAATAATTACTGAGCTTTAATCAGCTAGTGAAATGTTTTGCATTTCTCTTTGATTCTGCTTTATGAATGACTAATAAATTAATATTTCTGTATGGAAACAGAAATAAAAACTCAAAACAATTAGATAATTCCATTTTGAATTTTGCTATTGAACTGTTAAATACAACTATTAATCTTAGATCATTTTGTGAAACCTTTCTTAAGGTTTAGCTCTGAGTCACAGTTTATATTTTCAAAAAACTGTATAATAACAATTTTGCTGATTTGGTCATAAATTATCTTCTGCTGATGCTTTGTGCTTTACAGGCCATTCTCGAATCTCCAGAAAAGCAGCTAACACTAAATGAAATTTATAACTGGTTCACACGCATGTTTGCTTACTTCCGGCGCAACGCAGCCACGTGGAAGGTAAGCAAGCCTTCTGTCAGGCCTGGTCCATCCTGGGTCTTGACTTTTATAGCAGAGTCTGCTTTTAATAAGATGCGGTTTTTGGTCTACTAGGAAGTTACATTTATATGGTTTGGATACACACAAAGTGGTCAATCTATAGGAATATGTGAGATTTCAAAAAGTTACTGGAAAATGTGTATTATGACAAAAAACTATTCATGAATTTCAAAAGTTTTTTGCACCCAAATGAACTGTCTTAATTCCATTTTCCAAAACTTTTCGAAGTATCCCCTATTTTTTTTGGGAAAATAGTCTGACTGTGGTTAAAATGCTTGGATGGAAGACTCTCGTTACACTGGCATCAGATGTGTGGATGGAACAACCAGTAAAATTACCTCTTTCTGGTTGCAGTATTTAGGAAAGGGAGATGATACTGTTGCCCACCAACTTCATACTGTTAGGTCTTTAACCACAGCTGGTACTTGCATGTATACAGAGATCACTTTCTCACCATTAGGAACCTGGAGAAATGAACCCACAAACCTGACCCAGCTTTCATTGGATTAAATCATGAGACTGCCCCTCAGAGGTCCATGCATGCTTCTAAGTTATGAAACCTGATTCTCACATCCATCGTTATCTGTTGGGTGCCCACAATAATTGGGATCACATGGCACACCTCATTCCCAGTTCAGTAGTTGATTCATAGATTCCATTAGTATGTATCCTGTTGGATTAGGATAAGCAATAGTGTTTGAAATTTCCCACTTTGAATACCTTGGTGTCTTATTTTTGCATATAAAAGAGGGCAAGTACATGCTGACACTTGTATTTTTTTTACCTGAAATTTTTGTAATCCCTAAACTCCAAAACATTTAGACACATTGAATGCAAAGATCTTAAGATATTTTTACATGTAATTAGTGTAAACAGGATAGGTATTTACTACAGGATGCCAAGAACACTTGATTTGCTTGAAATAAATGCCTTTTATTTTATATGGTAGAGAAACAAAAGCAAAACCAGAGCACACAATTCTTTTGTTAAATCCTTGACAAATTAGCATTTTAAAAGAAAAATGCACATAACCATAGAATTAATTTATCAGTTTATGGCCCAAATTATCCTCCTGCTTCCATTAAGACACATGGGCGCTGAAGGATGCCTGTGTTCAAAATCTTCCCTCTTTCCCCTTAGCCTGCCTTGGGAGATAAAATACAAAGAAAGAATCTTTAGAATGCTTAAAAAAATTCAGGTAGTAGACGCATGAAGCAGACATTTTCTTCAAATTGCCTTTTATAAATAGCAAATGATCAAATTTAAAAATAATTACCAGTTGCAAATATAATACTTAAGCTCAGATCTTCAGATTTAACTTCTCCATTTTTGCAAACTGCAGGAAAAGTGTCATTAATATAAACAACCCTAGATGAAGTACTTAATGACTCATAAATACGTGTAATTTTCTCTACGTGTCCTTATTTGTACTGTGCTCTTAGACAAAAGATGAAATGCCCAGCTAAAGTCATGACTGAAAAGAGCTTACTCATCTTTCTTGAAAACTGTTGATTTTTTCGTTGCCTTCTGCTTCGATGTGCAGTTGTGGAAAACAAAACTTAAGTTTTGACTTTGCGTCTTTACTGGCACGGCTGTCTTATTCAGCCAGGTCTGCAGCCGTCCTTATCAGAAGTGGCTCCTTAGAGCTCTTTCAGTTCTATTCATGTTGGTACTTTACTTTAAAACACTAGAACATGATTAGGCTTAGCGGTGTTGCTTTCTTTCCCAGTTGTGTCTGCTCTATGTATAGATGCTGTCTGGATTTTTAAAAGGAAATTTTAAAGGGTTTATTTGTTTATGCCTCCCCAGTGTTGCACCAAGTGATAACAAGAGTCCTGCAGCATCCCACACTATGTTTTTGTACGATATAAAAAAAGGAAAATGGTTCAAGCCTAGCCTAAAAATGTATATGCAAAGAAATTTGACCAGTCAGGTGTAACTGACACTCCAAATGTTCTCAGTTTTAGAGACTTTTGTTTGTAAGCAAATCCATTAAACCTTCTGCAATCAGAAGTATCCTTTATTAGTCACCTACCCCAAATATGCTGACTTTATAAAAAACTCTAGGGGAATCTTTCCTGTGGACTCTGCTTGCAAGCAGTTCATGACACCAGGTAATACTAAATGTTCCATATCAGAAAAGAAAACTCAGGCAACTGTGATTATCCAAACACGGAAACATCTTTCAAAGCATCAGGATTTGCCAACTTCAAGGCTAAACCAGGAAGGAGATTCTACAGGTGGTAGAAGGGAACAGGTGCAAAATGAGCGCATTAGCACTGTTGCTGGAGTTGAGCAGAGGCTCGCAAGATAGGTGAGGTGTGATGTGAGTGCATCAACTTCTTGTGCTCCAGTGAATCCCCTACTTACTCCAGAGAAGAAGAAAATTTCAAGTAAATGACACGAATCCCTTTGTCATAGCTTTATGTCTAATGTTGAGCCCGGACCAGTAAGTTCAACCAGCCAGGCCCAAAGAAAGCAAGCCCTGCTCTGCTCACTTCTCTGCCCAGTAAGGCTTGGTGGATTTTTCTGAACCTCAAAGGAGAGAGGACACACTAAAAGCCCACAAACCTTGAGTGCACATCCTCGTCTTTAGTGGATTATAGATGTCAAAGGTCTAAGTTTAGGGATGACTAGAAATTTCTCTGAACCATAAGAAAGAAACATGTGCCAGTGAAAACCATTAACCGCAGGAATGTCATCATTTTGTCATTGAGAGTTCTTTCTATTCATTGGTTCCTGTGGCATTTACTCAGTTAATTAAGATCGTTATCCATAGTAAGCGCCAACTTTCATATGATTCGGGAAGGTAAGACATAGCTTGATGGGTGGATAGTGATCTTGTTGGCTACAAGAGGAAATAATCTCAATGGTAAAATCCAATTTAGCATTCTTCTTAATAAGACCCATGGAAATATTTAAAATCAGAAACTGTCTTGTATTTAGCAGTGTTAATGCCATTTTTAAAAATGATTTAAAAGAAAAACCCAAACTACCTTTTTTCTGTTTACAAAATGGGAGGTAGATGGGTTTAAAATGGACAATTTTACGCTTTACAAGTTTCTGTATTTGAAGTCATAGTAATATTTCAGATTGGTACAGTGAAACTGATTTTGGGCTTGTATGCTTATTATAAAATATTTCCACTGCTTAGATACTGTCAGACTGGGCTAAAACGCCAGCGTGCCATGGAGTCATGATTGTGGTTTTTCACTGGAAAGGGCATCCTCAGCTACAAGGATGTCCTCCACGGGGGTGGCAGTTCCAGCTCTGGGGGATGGGCTTACAGAATATGGACTGTTAGGCTGAATTTACTGCTGTTTTTGGAGTCTTTTCTTATGGAAAATGTAAATGTTCTCTCTTTTATACTTGCTGCAGAATGCAGTGCGTCATAATCTTAGTCTTCACAAGTGTTTTGTGCGAGTAGAAAACGTTAAAGGGGCAGTATGGACAGTGGATGAAGTAGAATTCCAAAAACGAAGGCCACAAAAGATCAGTGGGTACGTCCACCATGTTTGAACTTCTTAGCCTAGCTTGGATTGTGCTAACAAGTATAATGTAGAGGCTTTGGCTGCTAGATGGTGTTAGACCAAAGAAGTGGTTTCACGTTGTCTCAGTTAAGGGAAGCAAAAAAGCATTTCATCCCTCCTGTTTTGTATACCCACCAGTCCCCTGCCCTGCTTGCTGGTCTTTGTTGCATCACATGCTAGTAGCTTTTAGGTGGCAATGCATATTAACCCTCACAAACCATTGGCTTATGCTTATTGCATTTTATTTTCTTTTTCCTGTTCCCTGTATTGGATGTCTGTTCTGCCCCCAACCCCGTCTCCTTTTGTTGCCACTTCATCTCCTTTGCTGCTGCTCCTATCCCAGGGTGCCATTCGCACCAACCTCTCACTGCATAAGTGCTTTATCAGAGTAGAGGATGAGTTTGGGTCCTTTTGGACAGTTGATGATGAAGAGTTTAAACGTGGCCGCCATATTCAACGAGGCCGTCCTCGCAAATACTGCCCCGATGAAAACTTTGACGAGCTTGTCGCACAGTAAGAGCCTTTACTTGCTTTTTGTTTTTTTTTTCTGCTGTTGCTTTGGCTTTGCATGGTTGACTCATCCCATGTAGTTTTGCATTTCACCAAGTAGCAGTGCCACAGCTTTCTGCAATGAAACTAAATGGTGTGATTTGTACATGTATTTCTCTTGTTTCTCTTTGGAACACCAGTGCCTTTGAATAATGCTTTTTTGACGTCTTTAATGCAAATATCGGTTGTATTTGGATTCAGCAGCTTACAGCGACCCTATCACTAAGCACTTTAGTGTAACCATTAATTCCTCCAAATAAAAAGGAATACTTGTTTATAGAATTAACACGTGTATCTACTGGGGTAAATTTCTTATTAGGTGGCTAAGAGTATAACTGTAATGAAATGAATGATGACAATGTTCCCAGCATAGGAAAGTAACGAGGCTACTCATAAACGCAGGCAGTTTCCTACTGGAAGCCATTCTTGTCCCTCAGTATCTCTTGTACAGTTCTCTAGTATTTTTATTTCACTGAGCTAGAAGTTTTCTCAGCAATGGTCTTTTGGCTTCCTTTGGTCAGGTGACAGAGACAGCACCCAATGTGCTCACACCTCCCAGATCTGATTGTGCAGTCTCCTGGCAATAAGTACAACGCCCTGGAGAGCTTAAGAGCCTCCTGCCATCCCTCTAGCAGTCATTCTAGAGTCCAGACCAGGACGCTGCTTAAAGGCCCAGGATCTTCCAGCTCACTTCCGCTGCCACTTCCCTGACTTCCAGCTGGAGCAGGGCGCCTGGTAAAAAATTGCAGACAGCTCTCTAGAGGGAGTACCTAGGCTCGCTGCTACTTCAGCCAGACTTCTACGCTCAGTGTCCTTGAGTAGCAAACTCTGTCCTCAGAGGTGTCCGCCCAGGCCGGCCCCGTAAAACAGGAGAGAGGAGGAAAAGCCCAACTTTTGATTATGTTAATGGGGAAACTGCTGATTTGGAAGGCTACCAGGCAGCTTAAAACAACTTAGCTAGGAACTCCGGGGTCGACTGCATTTAACTCTGAGTTTTTATCTTTTTCTTATACAGTAACCCTTCCCTTATTAAAAACATGCAGAGCAGCCACGCCTACTGCACACCTCTCAATGCAGCTTTACAGGTAAGATTAATGGCCGTCCTGAATATGCAGCAGAGGCGCATGTCTCCCCCACTCATTTCAAAATATATTAGCCTCGCTCTAATTAGATATTAAATTTTAATTCCGTTAAACTTTTTTCTTAAGTGCACAAAGCATCGTACTCCCTGGAGGCAAACACATCGGGCTGCTTCAGCATTAGCGGGATGCTTAGCATTTTGAATATTGTGGCAAAAAAATTAAAAGTTCACTTATTAATATTTATCAGCAGTATCATAATTTCCATCCTCTTATTTCAGAATTTCACTTGAGGCAAAAATACCACAAGTGTAATTACTCTAGCACAGCTATTAATGTGCTGGATGATAGGCCACTGCATCACATGACCTTCTATTGTTCACGGGTTTAAAGCGAAAGCAGAGCTTTGTATTTCTTCTTCTTTTAAAGTCGCTTTCAGCATCTTGTCTTTTGTCCAGGGGGGAGGAGCTGGGTTTGTTTCACTTTGTAAAAGTACGCTGTTTTTCTTTAAAACAATAGAGGCGCTTAAGACGACTCTTTAGGTTCCGAGCAGATTATGGAAGATTACATAACTCTCCCAGCACAGAATGTTTGTTTCCCATTGCAAACCAAGCACTTGTTACATCACCAATGACCCTGAGGGAACTGAGACACCGATTCTGAGCAGGAGGCAGATTACGCCCAGATAGGAGCAGCCCTGCTGCCTAGCGAGCCTTTTATTTCTTGCCTTTCTCAGTTACTACACAGCAAAGTCACCTCTTCAGTGAATGGAATATTCCAGTGTCACTCCATTAAAGTACCTGAACGTGGTACTGAAGTACCCCTGAAGAGCGCGGTGTCTCTGTGGCCAGAGCGCCTTGTTTTAGATGCTCTCCAGGCTGTTCTGGACAACAAGTCAAGGGACTCCCGATAATACTTAAATGCCATATTCTACAGACAAGTGCGACATTTGACAGCACGCATTTTCAGTGGGAGCTGCGGCACGCTGAAGTTGGTTCTTAGATACAATGTTTTGTGCCCGTCCCAAGGGCCATAATGCAGGAGAGGAGGGCACACGTGGAGAAACAAGAGTCTGAAAAGGAACAGTACTGAGAAAATAGTTGAGAGCCACAGCATTATGGGAACAGGACGAGGAGAAAGAGATCCTGCCAGAGCTCTAGGAGCCATCACATCAATATTTATTGAGGCCGGCGCCGCGGCTCACTAGGCTAATCCTCCGCCTTGCGGCGCCGGCACCTGTCCCGGTTGCCCCTCTTCCTGTCCAGCTCCCTGCTGTGGCCAGGGAGTGCAGTGGAGGATGGCCCAGGTGCTTGGGCCCTGCACCCCATGGGAGACCAGGAAAAGCACCTGGCTCCTGGCTCCTGCCATCGGATCAGCGCGGTGCGCCGGCCATTGGAGGGTGAACCAACAGCAAAGGAAGTCCTTTCTCTCTCTCTCTCTCACTGTCCACTCTGCCTGTCAAATAAATAAATTTTAAAAAGATAAAAAAAAATATTTATTGAGCACCTGCCCCGTGTCCTACCGAGCACCAGCAGTCTGAAGGCTCCCAAGAATGTTTCGGTTCCAGGGGCAAATTTACTGAACTTAGCGTTTCAGTAATTCTATTTATTTATTTTTAGTCTGAACCAAATTTAATAGAAGAAACTACTTTCTGCATTTCTTTTAATTACTTGTAATTTACACAGTAACTTTAGAAAAGTAAATGAAAGCGTGCTTAGATGCCGCCACTGTAAATACCATTCATTAGGAACTTATTTTCCCTGGAGTCTTGTGAAGTGTGCATTTAAAGGCTGCTCTATCTGGAATAGTATTAAAATTACAAGTGCCTTTTACATTCATGAGGCAGAAAAAAATACCCCAACGATCCTCCGGTCCTCGGGATTCTCTTAACTGTGTGACTCATTTCAATTAGTGTACTTGATCATTAGAGAACCGTTCGTGTTGCCTCTTGAACACATTTGTCTTTGGCATCCTCTGCACCGTTTCTTTCCTGTGGTAGCCCAACACTGTCCTGCACGTTTCCAAGTGTTCTTGGGGGCCATAATGAGGCAAGGCAAATACCGATACAGATTCATCAGTTGAGGGGTGGCTTGTTTTCCCCTCCTCTGTGGGTTTGGATCCTTGATCAGCAGTCACACAGGACGACTTTCTGCTGTGCAAATTAAATAAAGATTCAACCAGCAGGCCTTCCTTTCCATTATCACCCATTTCCATTTTTTAAGGCAAGTAAAAATAATAGTGGAACAATATCTTTTAAAAAATTACTAGAGCAACATAATGCATGATATACAATTTATAAAATAGGACAGCAGAATTCACTACAGAAATAAAACATGGGACTTGGGACAGATTGCATTATGCTCTGAAAAAGTGGAGTAACTAAGGGTAACCATAAAGCTCCGTATTTATAGACTGCCTTTTCCCTGAGGATCTCAGAGTGGTTAATGTTCCAGAAGTGATGGTACTTACGGACTTGCGCACCATCACTTAAGCACCTTCTTTTTTTGGCAGAGGTGCCTGTTTGCTATGAAGCCACATACTGTGCACAGAAGCATTTATATAATTAAGTCCATTATAAAAACTGTAACCCACCTGCTCCTAAGAGATTATCAGCTACAAAAAAGAACTACTTTGTTAGGTATAAGCATTTGCTGAAAATCTGTCTAACCTTGGGCGGGTTGCTCTGATCACTTGCTCAACAAAGAGTGTTCACGAGGGGCTCTGTTGAGGCTCAGACTCCAGGATCTCTTTGCAGCCCCTTTGATCCCTTTATAAAGGGACAAGGCTGGTTTTCTTCAGTTACATCTTTCTTGTCTGTGAACCAAGGGATCAATATAAGTTTGCTTGCCTTTGGATGCCCTTCACCACTGTGGCTGTTGGGCCCATATCCTATGATTCCATCCTATTCAGAAATGGCCTTGACCTAGAATACTTGGAGAGCCAAGGAGAATACTCATCCCCAAGACTGTTAACCCTGTCTCTAGGGTGAACAGCGCATCCCAGTGAATACATTCTCGTAAACATTTTGTCTGGTCGGTTGACAATTTGCTAACAAAGCAATCTAGTGATGGCCTCACTTTTGCCTCATTCAGACTGCATAGTCGCAAAAGTAACTTGTGAGAGCTGACTTTGTGGTAATTCCAGTAGAAAGAGGCTTGGTTGGTGGTCTCAGAACTTCCATGGTTGGGAGAGGTGTGAGTACTGTACCTTCTCACATAAAGCCGGTTAAGATGCTTGTCCAGCTGCAGTTTGCAACAACAAAAAACCATACTTCTTGCAAGTATTCTGCCAAAAAAATGCTTTATTGCATTTACAAGAGAAAGTACTCGCTACAAATTATTTGACTAACTGGAGGGGAGTGGCAAGTGTTCAGAATTGCTATTCTTCAAAATAAATTCACATTTGGAAACAAAAACAGAATTCTTCTCCCTACATCCTACCCCCACTTTTTCAAAGGTGGCCATTAAACAAATTCACAAGCAGAGGGAAGGAAAAGCCATTGGCTTGTAGAGGGCCTAATGTTGAAACAGTCCACTGGCCAACACCAGGTTAGGTGAATGTTTACGGGTTTTCTAACACAGAATTGGTATCTAGTAAGCATTTCTGGCTTTTTTTCTTTTTGGATCATGTTTTCTCTACAGTGCCAGGATTTCTAGAGTAGCTTGGACTCTAGTATGATTGGCCAGTTAAAGTCACCATGCCAGATTGTCTTGCGATTGTTCTTTTTTTTTCCTTGAGGATGGAAAACCAGGCATAGTGTAGTTTGCAGGAGGACAGTTTTGGTAAATCGTGGCCTGATTATAGCCGCAAAGTTTTGAAAGTCTGTCCTCTTGAATAAAATGAAAAGTCACTGGGTCATTATCACTACCCAAATGAAACAAGTATGGATACTGTAGTCCTGTGGTATCATTGACGAGTGTTTGCATCTCAGAGTGGGTGGGTACTTTATTCAAACACAGGAGAGCAGGAAGTGAACAGTATCCCTCCCTGCAGTTTAGGGTTTTTTTTCATTTCCACACTTTTTTTGCTGACACTCATTTGAAGTGACTTTTGTCACCTTTAATATCGATGTACTTAGGCACCAAATATGATTTAGCGCTTCCTCTGGTGAGAGAATTTTTCTTTAGTTCTAAAAATCCCAAGTGATTGGTGTGAGCCTGAAAGATTGTGTGGTGTTACCTTCAACCAGTTATCTCAAAATATACTAAGCAGATTCAAGAATCATTAAAACAGAAATGATTGGAAGAGATGAAAATTGATTCCAAGTCTATAATCTCTTCCTTTTCTATAGGATCTAGGAGGTAAATGTTTATGGAAGTTCTCATAAATTTGAGTGGTGCAGCCAGGATAATCTGATCAAATCTCTAATATCCAATAGTGGAGTCATCAAAATGGATAAAGAAATGAAAATTCCATTATATTTCACTGTGATTTGGAAATATTCAGTTCAGTTCTTCTTGGGGAAAAAAAAAGGCTTGAGACATAAACCTCATATCAGATAGCCTTGTCTAAACCATGTGACTCTACCAAGCAGGGCCAAATTGAGTCTTTCTTTCCCACAGGCAGGTGGGTCCCCCAGTTAGCTCTTCAAAGCCAAGCTTTGATCTGGGTGGGGAGGGCACACACTTGGGGGTAGCAGTTAAGACACTGAAATGCATAAATACCTGGTTCAAGTCCCAGCTCCTCCACTTCTTATCCAGCTTTCTGCAGGATGTGTACCCTCCCAGGCAGCAGACGATGGCTCAAGTACTTGGGTCCCTGCCAGCCATGTGGGAGAATGAGACGGGTTTCTGGGCTCCGGACCTTGGCCTGCCTCTGTCCTGGCTGTTGAAACATTTGGCGAGTGAACCAGCAAATGGAAGATAAATCTCTCCCTCTCTCTCTCTCTGCCCTTCAAGTAAAAAGGAAACATTTTTTAAAAATTTTTTTTTTATTTGAGACATAGAGTTACAGACAGGGAGAGGTCTTCCATCATCTGCTGGTTCACTCCCCAAATGGCCACAACAGCCAGAACTGGGCAGATCCAGATGCCAAGAGCTTCTTCAGGTCTCCCATGCGGGCGCAGGGGCCATCTTCCACCACTTTCCCAGGCCATAGCAGAGAGCTGGATTGGAAGAGGAGCACAGCCAGGACTAGAATTGGCACCCATATGGGACGCTGGTGCTGCAGACGGAGGCTTAACCTACTGCACCATAGCACCAGGCCCTAAAATGAAAACAATTTTTAAAAACCCACATATACCACCAGTCACAGTTAAAGGAAAATCCTTGTACACCTCTTAGAAACTTGGATTTGCTTCAGTGCTCTGATGTTAAATATGCCTAGATTTCAGTTTCCTTCTATTGCATAACCCTGTGTGTTCACAAGTTTTCCTTTGGTTTGACGGCAGGCTTCGATGGCTGAGAATAGTATACCTCTCTACACTACTGCTTCCATGGGAAATCCCACTCTGGGCAATTTAGCCAGCGCAATACGGGAAGAACTGAATGGGGCAATGGAGCATACCAACAGCAACGAGAGCGACAGCAGTCCGGGCAGATCCCCTATGCAAGCCGTGTGAGTACTGTCCACTCGAAAAGCCTTGGCTGCCAGGCCCCACCCAGCCGCTTTGTTTTATGTGTGCACAAGCCTTCCTGTGACCTCTGCATAGGCTTGTTTTATAATTTCTGATTTCCTAGGATCCAGGTAAAAGGTTGTGCTTCCAAAGAAATGTTTAGGTCAGTGTACATATGAAAAAGGGCAATCTGCTAACTTTCTCATAAAAATAGTTTTATCCTGCCCTAAAAGTGCATACAACAGTAAAGCGGGAGATAAATGCACTATTGCCGCCCTGTCCTGTTTTACATCTCAGGCCATTATTTAAGCCACACTGCCTTTTTCTCCTAAAACCAGTTTGTATCTCTATGCAAAAGTTTGTAATTAGTTCAACTTTCAGGCATGCTGAATCTAGCAGGGAGTAGAGGTGTTTACTTTTCTATGTGATAAGCCTCACCAAGAATGCAGGACTGCAGCATTATTACCAAGCATTAATGATGGCACAAATGAAAGGTGACGTGATTTATAGATTGCTCTTAAAATATCAAAAGGAAAATTAATAGGAGCATTACAGCAGCAGACGGCAGTGTAACGAGTGCACATACAACTGAATGAAGTGATGGGCAGCGGTTGCCCACGCCGAATGGGAATGGCACCGGGATCAGGCAAACCACAGGAACGGCCCAGCCACAAGGCCGAGATGCCCCTGGGGCCCAGGAAGAGCTTCAAAAGAGAAAAGAAACCTTATTATCCCAAATGATTTGATTTGCAGGGGGTGGTGTGGAAGGACATTCTTCCTTGTAGTCAGTTTCCGGGAAACTCTTGCCCACTTTAAGGGAGTAAGCCAGTTCAGCATTTCCAGTAGTGTCAGCTCCTCAAACGGGCCTCTTGTCTACCATTCTTCCTGAATTACTGATCAACATCTTATTTTAAGATGTGAGTGATGCGATGGAAAATATGACCTGTAGCAATTAGGAACAGAATGAACTGGCATCTAGTGACAAAGAAAAAATGCTATCTGCCAACATAATTGGAGGGTATAGGGGAATCTGAAATTTGATTTTCCAGCATTTGAATTTCATGCCCAACGTGCTTTGAAAAGGATCTTTGAAACATGGCAATAATCATTTTTAATTGATATGAACAGTCTCTTAGCATTTCCTTCACAACATTTTCAGATTGTGTTTATCTTTCACACTGCTGCGGCTGTGTTTCATCCTTTCTAAAGCAACCTGCTGTCTCCCCGACTTTATTGTTATCACAATCAGATTCATCTTTAAATCATTCTCAGAACAGAAGTATTTACTCAGATATTAAAGAAGTTCAGAGCAAATGTAAACTGGCATATAAGCAAATTCCATAAAAACTCATTAAAGCAAAATGTCTAAAGTTGCCGAATGGGAAAGATACTAGTTCTCATAATCTGTATACCTCTGAGGGTTAGCTGATGTATGTTCTTGTTATATGACACAAAGGTTGGCTGTTTAAAAAGAGACAATGTTTAAATACAAGCCTCCCAGGCAACAGTGTAAGGGGATGCTAATTTTGCTGTGCAAAATAAAATCACTATAAAGTTAATTTGTATAACAACTTTGTTTTCCGTGATGCTGGAGTTAAAACAATGTTTTACAGCAGTCATCATAATTTTTAAAAGAAACTGTATGAAGATGTCAAAATGCGTTGCTCAGTTTGCTAAGTGTAACTATGTGAACAGCAGACTCCCTGTGCCTATGACACCGGTAGTCTTTTTGACCATATACTTATCCAAAATGCATTACCCTGATGTGATGCAAACAGTGTTCAAGGGTTCCCATCGAACTTTGCAGCAGGGCTTACAGGACCTTGTTAGGATGGCAGCCCAGCTAATAGCTCCGTTGCAGCAGTTCAACTCTTCATTCTTGCTTTATCCATGACCCTCTAATACACTCTACTGCATTTGTCTCCTGAAACACTAGTCAACTTTATTTAAAAACTCTTGTCTTCCCAGAGTGGCTAAACCAAGGAATTACTCAGTTGGGAGGAAAGGGCAATGTGTGGCTTTGCAGCTACTCACTGGTTAGGCCTTTGGAGGCAGGTGCTAGAGAAAGCAAGCAGGGGTGGGGAGGGGTCTGCAGGGGAAGAAGGTGCCGTAGGTGAAGCACAGCAGCCTACGGAGTCTGTGTCTTAGCTGAAACTTACCTGACATGGAAATCTATTCTGCTCACCCCCTGAATCACTATAGGCTTCTGTCACTAAATTTGCCACTCAGATATCTGCGGGTCTGGAGAAATGTCCTGAAATTGAAATTAATAGCTAACATGATTGTGTTGGCAGGTTGTCACACAGATCTAGTCATTAGTATTTGCTGGGGATCCACAGGGTTAGAGCTAGCACTCTGTGTCTTTGGGATAGTACGTAATTGTGAATTTTCACTGCCAGTATTGGGAGGAAGGGGGAGTATTTCTCTGATGTTGTGAACTGTGTTCTGTGGGAGCCTTCCATGTATCTAATGTTTTCTTAGCTTAGCAAAACATTTGTCAAAGTCCAAAACTATAGAACAAGAACTTAACATTATGACTTCTTTCTTCTCCTATCTCCCCACAAAGCTTGATTTTATCTTATGCCATCAGATTGTGGTTTCTAAGTATGAAAAAAAAAATTTCAGATAGTTTGAAAAGTGAAGAGAAAATGCTGCTATAGAAAATGAAATTTGAACCTCAATACGTGGCTAAGTAAAATAAAAATTCTTACCCAATGGCTATTATGAAGTAACAGTTCTCTACAATGATCCTGAAATGTTCACCATTGTCATTAGTTCAAGAAACACAATTTATATTAACCTCAATTTATCTTATACCTAAGCAACAAAATATTTTTTAAATATGACTAGGTGTCCTGATGAGATTGAGTAGACAAAGGTACAGCCACTTTGGAAATTAATAATTGCAATAAATATCATAAGAACCATAAAGATGTTTTGGCCTTTTCCCCAGCAATTCCATTCTTAGACATTTATCCAAAAGAGGTAAATCAACAAACAGAAAGATTAATGGATAAAAAGGTCTTTATGTTAACAGTAAAAGGATGAATGAAAAGTGCCTAATATTAATACACAGAGGAATCCCCTATCACTGTTAAAATTATAACTGTCAAGGCTGCAAAAAAAAAAAAAATCCCTGCTTTATCTACAATGTAAGACATACTATGGGAAGAGAAAGGCAAAAGCAAAAATCTGATCTCAATTAGGGGTCTACTGGCAATTTCTCTGATTTTAAGGAACAATAATCAATATCCTAATTCTTCCCAAAAAAGTATAGGAAATTCTACCAGAGTGACTGCACAGGTGTACAGTGCATTGCAAGAGCAGGGTTCCATGCTAAGACCACAGCACTTGTTTCAGTTTTCAAGCTAGGGACCTTATATTTGCAGTTTGCAGGGGGCTCTACAAATTAGTAGCCATTTCTGTATTTTATGCCTTCAAAAAATTAAAAATACATGGAGAGCCCCATGTAAAATGTACTAGAATACAGCTTTGCTGTGTTTTGTTTTGCAAACAGTTTTTAAAGAATAGACGCTTGATATTTTTAAAGCTATTTATCTGCCATCCGAGGCCCTCAAACCCTCTCTCTGCTGTGCTAATTTTAGAGTCAATTGATTCTGAAGGCTCATGTCTTAGAGGGCAGTCCAAAGCACTCCTCTGTTTGTTTTTAAATGGTTCAAGGGGCCTTTGGGGTTTGCATACAGCATCAATTATTTAGGAAGCCAACCATCCCCAGTACCACCTCTTATTACTAATACTTGATAATGTCAATTAAAGAATCCTCCCTTCTGCAAAGCCTGTCCCAGAGATGGGACTGTTTGAACTTGAATGGTTCTTTTACATATCAAAAGCCCTGTAACAGAAAGTAATTTGTATTTGCAAAGGATCGGTTGTAAATATGATTTACGAACAACATTTCTCAATTGTTATCGGAGTGGGTTTGTGTGATCCCCCCAGTCCCCTTCTTGCGAACCAGGCGCTAGTCCATAATGAGAAAGTTGGCAGATCTCATCGCAGCCCCGTGCATCCTGGTGGCTGCTACCAGCCGGGCCTCATGTTTTGCCTTGTTTACAGCTGACAGCGTTATTATTCTGATTGGGCCTCTGCTTTCTTATCATATTGTTGTGTTGAGCAAGCCTTTTCCTCTCCGTTTGTGTTTCCTGGCAGGGCTTTTCTTGCCTTATTGACAGTTTGTAAAAATATGCATTAATTTGGAGTTTCAAGCATGTATCATGGTGTCTCTTTGCTGTGTTTGCTTGAAGTTGATTAATGATAGAACCTCGCTTGGGGTCGTCCTCTGGAGAGTTCTTTCACAGGTTCTGCATGTTAACTAGCAAAGCAGAACACACAGCAAGCCATGATTAGCCCAGGCTCTGGCGCTCCGTGGTCCCCACAAACTGCCGTTGTATTACAGATTCTTGTTTCTCACAGTTATTTGAAGATTGGTATTCATTCACCCAGGATGCCACTAAGGGGCCTGTTAGACCTGTACTCAAGTGTGGTCTTAGCATCAGCAGCATCACCTGAGAGCTTGTTAGAGATGCAGAGTCTCAGGCCCCACCCTAGACCTGCTGGATCACACACTGGTTTTAAGTAGGGCCTCTGCTGATGTGAATGTGTATTGAAATAGGACACACAGGAGTAGGGAGAAGAGGCCTGCTTCTGTCCAGAGATCAGTCATTGTTGGGCAATGCCAACCAGAAGAACTTACGGCGATGATGGAAAGTTCTCCTTCTGCACTGTTCAGTAGGGGAGCCACTGTCCACATGTGGCCCTTGAGCACTTGAGGAGTGTGGCCCGGTGCAACTGAAAAACTGAATTTTACATTGTATGACGTTTTCATTCATTTTAATTTAAGGAGCCACATGGAGCCAGTAGTTGCTCCACTGGACAGAGCAGCTCTGGAGCGCGACTTTTCTGTTGCACCACAACACCTAATTGCAGTAGGTTGGCAAACACCCTCACTGAGCCTTTGCTTGCTTTTCCAGACATCCTGTACACGTCAAAGAGGAGCCTCTCGACCCAGAGGAAGCTGAAGGGCCTCTGTCTTTAGTGACAACAGCCAACCACAGTCCAGATTTTGACCACGACAGAGATTATGAAGATGAAGCAGTAAATGAGGACATGGAGTGAACGTCTGGGTGGGCCGACCCCAAGAATGAAGATTGGAAAAAGAAAAAAAAAAAACACAAAAAACAAAAAACCACGTCAAAAGTTAGCAGTGAAATTGTTCTCCATTTGTTGTACAGTCTGGAGGATTTTCACTACATTTTGACAACTCTGAAATGTGTTAACTCTTAGTGCCATCAAGAATCCCATTTGGGAGTATTTTTGATTTTTCTACTTTTTGTTGAAAAAAGGAATTTGTACTCTGTGCATTGGATGGACTTGTTTGGTACTTGGGATTTTCCTCTCTTAACAGTCAACATCAGTGTTGTAAATTTACTAAACTGATTCACTTTTAGCAGCAGACTTTGAACTGCAGTCCTGCCAACGTTGGACACTGAGGACACCCGACTGAGCTTGTGCACCTAAGCTGCAGACCAAGCCTTTGCCCAGAATTTAAGGATTCCAATGGACGACCTATTTGCACAGTACTGCATGTTGATTATCACTGCCTTTACTCCATTTTTTTTTTTTTTTTTTTTTTTGCTTCCAGTTGGGATGGGGAAGGCCTTTGTGTGTGTATTGGGGGGAGGGGTTAAAAATAATTATCCCAAACTTTTTAATGTATTGCTTTTTTTTTTTTTTTGGCTTCTACTATACCATTTTAAGTTCTGACCTCAGGCCTCCATTTGGGCCCATGGCCTCTTGGAGGCTTAAAGTTTTCTGTACCTTGTGATGAATGTTAATAGGTGTTTTTATTATACAAAGCTGAATGTCATTTCTCGTTTGTAGTTTTCTGTCACTCATTCCATTTCCCTTCAGACATCACCATGTTTCTCTAAAGTCAGAAAACATTCCGTTTTGGTCTTTTTCTAAAAGGTCCCAAATGCTGCACTCTACACATGAAGGTCCTCTCACACAGACGTGACATCCTGCCAGAAAGAGAATGAATGACAGAAAAAAAAAAAAAGACACTCTAGGAACAATGCAGATTCATTCCACAGAGCAGTATTGGGGGTGGTAAGGGGGTTGTTTCAGATATCCTCCTCCTCTATTTTTATTTTCTGCAGCTACCATCATTCTTAATAAATGCCACAGCATTTTACCAGCACAAGGAAATATAAGCAGCACCAGAAAAAAGATCCCATCATAATTAGACTGAAAATACGGCCATGGAAGGCTCTCTCTCTCTCTCTTCTGTAACTAAGGGGCAATGGGCAGCAGTCTCTCTCTTAGAACCAGCATGGGTGGCTTTGTTTGCAAGACGGCCATAAATATGGCTGGCTTCTCTGAGCAGCTTTGCAAAAACATGGTTTACAGGTCAGTTCAGACCTCTTTGGTGTGGCATTAATCTGTTTGAATGCAAATTAGATTTCAGATTGAACCTGTATGGCAGTTAATGAGGGCTGAGTTCAGCAAATGCTCAAGTATTAATTTCCAATGTGCAAATTTGGTACTGCAATTCAGATTGTTATGCAATATTATCACACCTACCCAGTATCAAAAACCAATACAAGACATTGGGCAAATGGAGGAGGCTCACCTCAGCCTTCAGCTTGTGAGGGATCCAACATGGCACGCAGAATGTGCTGGTGACAGGTCAGTCCCATCTGCATCTTCAGAACCCCTCAACACCTCCAGTCTGCATCCACTTTCCTGTCATTTGTTTATCTAGGACCGTAGATTTTTAGTTTGAGAGCCTTTTGAAGCTTAATTTATATTCTTCATACCTTTTTTCCCCTAAAATTACCAAAGATGTTACACAAAGGTAAATTATGTTCTCTGTTTTATGCTTTATCTGATGAAGCCAAATATCCTCTTATTGTTGATCAAAGGAGGCGAAAGAATTTAGAGGCAAATGAAGAGATGTAGGCTATTGCTAACCTGAGAAAGAGAACTGCTCCTTCATCTTAGAGTAAATTTAGAAGACCAAGTAGATAATGGAACCAAAGTTGTTACTTTTTTCTAGTTGTTTTCTTTTTTCTTTTTGTTTTCCTGTACCTCTACTGAGACCAAAACTCATTTTCTATAAAGAGAAATCATGGGACTACAGAAGATTAAACATAGGACACAGTATTAAAGGAGCGACAGAAGGAAGGGAGTCCCATCTCAAAGAAAAAGAAATTAATGTGTGCCACTGAAAACTAGGGTATCCAATAGAGGAGAGACAGACAGTTAAAATTTGGAGAGAACAAAAAAGCTTCCACAATTGAACTAGACCACATAATAGTATTTCTAGAATAAAAGACATTTTTTAGAAAGATTGTATGCCACTTTTGTTTAAGAACCGTGCTATGATCACTGCATTAATTTTGGTTTATCTTGGCATATGGCCTCTAGTTTGTTTTTCCTTTTTCCTTCCTTTACTCGGATTAGGCTTTGGTCAGCATTTTTCATTTACAAAAAAGTAACACTCCCGTCCACTCATAAGCTTGGTACAAAAACCTCTTTGGCAATTACTTTTGAAGCTTCACTCTGCTTTCTGTATAAAGGGCAGTCTGTGGTCACTCAAGACTTTTTTTTTAAACTTTTCCAGGCAGCTTCATGATGTGCAGGCAGTAGCCAGACAGGGTCATGGGAAGGGGGCCCTGTGCTTCTAAACTGAGTGGTTGCTGGTTAGTTTGGTATTCAAAAAGAGGATAAAAATCTGGTAGATTAGTTCATTCTCAGCATGTGTAGCTAGACATGAGTAAAGATAACAGCATGAGAAACTGTTAGTACGCATACCTCAGTTCAAACCTTTAGGGAATGATTAAAATAAAAAAAAAATACATTTCACTCAGTTGCACTTAGTCGCGTATGTCTTGCATGCTTAGTCTAAAGACTGTAGCAAAAAAAAAAAAAAGAAAAATTAGATTTTTACATATCTTTGCAGGTATCACAGCCTTGCAGAAGAACCAACTGAAAAAAAATATTCTCAGGCTTCACAGCAAGCAGACTTCACTATGGTTTTTACAATTCTGAATCTGTATCCCTTGGGGGTATTCCAGGCGCTTCTTTAGGATGGGGTTTATTATGTTGTACATATATCCCAATGTGTCTGTGTGATCTTTGTCTTTTTTGGGGGAGGGCGGAGGGTGGTTCTTTTTTTAGATACTGTTCCTAAAAAGGAATAAATGCATACACCTGTTTGTCAAAACACCTTTGCTTTTTGTGCAACTGCTTTGTATTAACGATACTTTAAAAAATATCTTTGGAAAAAAACTACTGTATGTAATGGAATTGCAGAATATGCTGCACATGTATTTTATTTAGTTATTCTTGCTTTACAAATATTGGATGACATTTCCTGACATGTAGGAGGAGGGACAAACTCCCCCCGCCCCCTTTGGCTTTTAAATTGTAACATAGTTGACAGATTTTTTTTTTCTGTTCTCATTGATTAGAGCATTTTGTACAGGTTTTTATGTGTGTGTGCGCGTGTGTGTGCGTGTATGTTAATCTGTTTTTTGATACATTCCTATCCCTTGTGTTTATCCTACCACTGCCTTCCTGGCTATCTTAAACAAGTTCATACATTTGGAAAGAGAAAAAAATATTGTTTAAAAAAATGTTTCTCCTGCTGCAGTAAATATTTTGCATGATGAAATTCCAGGGTCACACTTTCAAAGTTTATCAGTGAAGTAGTGATTAATAATGGGGAGTGTCAAAATACTGAATCTTTATATAAAAAAAACTTTACAAGGTGCCAAGATGTAAAGACAATTTGTTACTTTATTTTTTCTTAAAGAAAAGCGTACATGAGGGAGGTAGTCCTATGCATCAGACAAATGTGCTGTCACCTATGAGGATCCCTGGACTCATCCCTAGAGTCTGACCATATACCACGAGTTAGGCTGCCTCATTGGATGAGCAATGACAGGAAGTACCAAGGCTTATGTAGCTAAGGAGTGACTGCCAGTCCTGCCACCTTTGGATAGCTCTAATATAAATAGTAATACCTCCTACAGCATTCCATTAGACCTAGGAAAGAAAACCTTTGGTTCTTAACCCCAAATATGTAAGTCATTAGCTTTTTTATCACATACACAAAGTAGAATTAAAAAATATGTCCTCTCCTTTCCACATTCCAGTTGAGCTCCATTTCCAAGGGCACAAAAATGCACGTGCTTGTAGGGATTTTCAGTCTTCTGGTACCTTTTATTTACTGTCATACCCTCCTGATATTTTGGAAGTCAATTTCACTTTCTGATCCTGAGAATCAGATTTATAATTCTAAAGGCGTTTCACGGGCCATGTGTGGCTCATGCCCTCTCTGCTACCACAAGCCGTGATGAAGATGGTACAGTCCAGACTGTGAGCATGCTGCTTCATATGTATGTGCTGCCAGTAACAGAAAAAAATTCTGTTTTGTTTTGTTTTGATAAGGCATAAAAGAAACTCATTCCTTGACATCAACTGTAATTCCATCATTCCGTGTCTGTGGATACAGACAATAAAAAAAATGTTGTGTAGTCAGTACTAATTACTGACATTATAGCATTCTCAAATGCAATAAAAATGCTGGTGTTCACACTGGTAGTAAAAGTCGCCACAGCCTAAGTTTTTTTTTTTCCTTTTCTGACCTGCTGATATCCTATGTTAGGTTTATCACCAGCTGCTTCCAATACGGAATTAAACTCAATCTGTAATGAAAAGCCCTGTCCTCAGGATTTCCAAGTAATTCTACTTAGAGAATTTGGAAGAAAAAGAGAAAGAAAGGGACTATCTTTTCTTTTTACGAGATAGTGCCTTATTTTTCTTCATCAAATTTTATTTAAAAAAAAAACAAAATGTTTAATAACTAGCATTAAGAGCAAACTAAAATTTCAGAGGAAAGCAATTTCATGAATAATTCATCAAAATTTCACATCTGCAAGATTAGTCATCCAAATAAAATGCTAATGTCAAAAACATGCACCGTCTATAATATTCTCATCAAGAAATCTTTTTGCATATAATGATAAATGCTTAGATTAGAACAAATGACTTTATAAAAATATTCTATCAAAAATATGCTAGATAACTGCATTGATGGAAGAAAACAGATCTCTATTAGTTAAAGATTCTAGTAAACCATCTTAATTCTGAGTGTTTTTTTTTTTTAACTATACCTTTAGGAAAATCTGCTATTTTTCTTTAGTACTAGTCTGTAATATACATCCTAAGGATTAATGAATGCAAGTGTCATGTTTTCTGTAAAAATTAAGTTGCCAGTGTATTGAAAGCATCATTTTTAAGTGGCCAGACCATGGTAACATAAAACCATTAAGTATATAATTCAGGGCATCACAGCACGTATAACACAAGCCAAGAGATGGCTTGAAAATTAACCTTGCAGTCTTTGGCAAAACACCCACTGATGCTAAGAAACGTGTAAACCTTCTTTCCCAGCACTGTTTTGAAAAGCCCATGTTAGTAGAGTTTTGTTTCTAGTTTCTTTTTTACAAATAGATTTTGCTACTTAGTTGTGAACCAGTGTACCGCTTTCATTAACAGGTAGGCCACAGCCTAGAAACCCTCTAGTCTAATAATTAGTAAAACATCTGAACCTGTAATTCTCACCTGATTCTTAGTGAATATGATATTAGGGTTAATTGCAGGTCCTTTAATTGCCAGGCTTAGACATGAATACTGCTTCTAACATATAGTTGGTAAAACTAAATATGTACACCTATTTCTTTTAATAGCTGAAGGACCCAAATCAGGTATGGTGAAGTGTTAGTGAAGATTTTGTTGGCTGATGCAAATGCATTTTTAACTGTTTATCTCAGGAACTATTCTCTAGCAAGAATCACCTATATTTATTTTAGGCTTGCCTCTGAAAAACAAGGCAGCAAACTCAAAATAGTGGCTCTTTTTTAAAATAGGGGACTTTATCTGTGCAGCATACACTCTTTTAAGACTATAATTTCACACCAACAGAGGCAGCTTCATGATAGTAACTACTCCCACTCCCCCAAAAAGAGTATAATTAGTCTTACTAGATTTTTTCTTCTTCGTTGAAATTACATATTTATGTATAGAATAGTAATCACAATTTATCTTTCATTTTCATTGTAGTTGAGTCAAATAAAATATTCTGTATTTCAAAATAAAGTGAAGTTGGGTCTCAAACCTTCATTTCAGGAATTGACTGATGAAAGGTTTAAGACAATTCACATTTGTGGGAAATTAAACACTGAAACACTGACTTAACTGTGGGATAACATTTGGATTATAAAACTATCACTAGATACAACCTACTTGTATTTATTTTGAAAAGTGTTTTATTTTTAAAAAAGCAAAATCCTGTGTCTACTTTCCACTTTGTAAAATGACATTCAGTGCTTAATACATACATCTATCTCCATATACACTTAATGCCTAATACATATATATGTATGTATGTATGTATATCTATACATATCTCCACCTAGTTGAAATTGTCAACCATCCTATTTTTTTTGTTGGTGGGTGAGAAGGCCTTATACCAAGGATACAGGGAGGGGGACAGACAAGCTTTAAGTTATAATGTTAATTTGAAGGTAACTGGCCTCTCAAGAATTAATTTCAGCCAAAGCAATAATCATTATTTACCAGCATGTGACATTTTTATCACTCATCATATTAGCAAATTTCCATTGAAAATGCTAAAATGGTTCGTCATAAGGCAGATAACTGCTCTGGCTGTAAAAATGACCAACAGAAGTGCCGGTACTCAAACATTAAATTATACTGTAATTAATAAAGACAGTTAAACTGTCTACTAGCAACAGCAATTTAGGTAACCACATTTGATCGGCTATAAATTGTAACTGCATTAAAATTCCAGAAATATTAGCAATATGGATTACTTGATGGAAGTTGGTGCTGATCACTAACTCTTTTTTTTTTTATTTTACAATGGAAGCACAGGTCATGTTGACCACAAATCCGTAAGCGAAGATCAGGCCTTAGCACTTTTAATCTTGTGAAACAAGCAATTACAAATAGTTGCATCGATTTGTTAAAAAGCTTTAGGTGACATAAATTGTTTCTTGTTTAGCTTATTGCTCTGATATATAAATGTCACCAAGTCCAGTATTAATTGGGGCCATAGAACAACACAGGGTGGCCTGTGTGGCTTCCAATCAAGAATTTGTCAGTCCTTTCGTGAACGTTCTCAAGGGCGCCTCTCATCAGCTGATTTCCCATTAGTGACAAGAGAGAAAAGGAAAACATTTTGTTACGTGAACTCTTTAATGCAAGCTTAATTTCTAGTTCTAAACCAAATTGGAAGATTTTGGACTTGCTTTCTTACCATCTGACATAAAACATGAAGAGATATTTTAAAAATATCTTTGAAATAAAACAATATTTGCAAGGCATTTCAGCCCCTGAAAAGCTAACACTTTTTCTCTCTTCTCAATATATGGTACTATATGTGTTTCCTTGGGTTTCTATTTCTACACTTAAAATACAATTTTAAATGGCTTGTGCATGCTATTGACTTAGCATAAATCAGATGTATCATATATACTTTCTTTGGGTTGGCATGCCACTTAGAAAAATATGTGAGATTCGGGGGGAAAAAAGTCTGGAGAAAATTTATTAAATAGAAGTTTTTACTGTAATAGAATATTAATGTAAGCCAATGCTCATTTGCCATTAAGCTGATCCTTTCTTAACATACACATGCTTTTTATTATTTTGCACTCAAGCACAAATTCCACATTCAAAGACTTTCCATCTAGTCGGGAATGTCTCTGGCAAGAAACATGTCAAGAAATCCCGACCTCCAGAAAGACAGCAGACGTCCACACAGCATTAGCCCACTAGTCAACGAATGCAGACCCATTCCCAAAACCTAAGACCAAGGCTGGTCAACAGAGTGGAATCGAGAGAAACAATTATTCTTTAAATCCTTCCTTACTGCTGCTACTCCACCAGCGCACAGATGAAAATGTTTGATTTGCAACATAAAAGATTCATTAATTACCACTTGAATATTTAAAGCTATTTTGCAGTCTAACAGAGATAGATAAAGCAGTGAATTAAAACCTCTAATAAAATTGTAAAAATATTTCGGTAAGTTTACCCGTGTTATGATTTAGGGAAAGATTCAAGCATTCTCACGGAATAGAGTCTTAGCAATTTTCAAGAGTGTGTTTGAAGAAAGGAGCTAAGTGTTCTGGGAATAATTTGTTTCTCACTTTCAAATGTTTACTAATAATTTATTTTCAAATGAAGCTTGCTACTTTAGGACTCCATGGATGGAAAAAATTCTCCAAGTGGTTATGAGCATTGTGTATCTGATTCAGAAATTAAAATTCTTTCAAAAGTATTCAGTTGGGCTGAAGGGTTTAGAAACTATCACATAAAGTGATTTTTCTTCCCACAAAACATACCAACTGTAAAACCACCCAGCCCCAAGAAGACAGCCTAGTACCCCCTCTTCCCCGTTTCCACAGCTTCTGATTTCTCTATCCATGATTCATGGGAGTATTTTCGTGTTTGGATCCTGGGAAAGAGGATCCTATACCATGCCAAGTCCACACTGTGCAATCAAATGCTAGAGAAGCTGAATAGCAGGTTACCAGTTCCAGCCCTGACCATAAGGAGCTGGGTGACTGGCAGGTTACTTCATCTTTTTGGTCTTCAGCTTCCTCTTTCTGTTAATTGAGGATGTTTAAAGGAGGGCACTTCTCATTGTTTTAAAATTTTGTAGCATATTCCTCCAAGAGACTTATCTTGATAAAAGTCATAGTATCATCATAAAAGAGTTTGTGTGGCACTCCATATTTCGCCAGTATTATCAGGTGGTCTCAGCAAACCCTGCCTTGTAACATGGCCTGTTAGAATCAAATTTCACTAGCATGTATGCTTGCTTCCATTCATTAATCCCTCCACAAATAAGCTTGAAATATATTAAATGACCTACTCAAACTCAACACTGAAGACACAGCTGGAAATCAGACACAACCTTTGGCCTCATGGTTGTGGAATACATAGGAATACATAGGAAGAGCACTTAACTCCACTGGGGCCAGTCAGGGAAGCTTCCTGCAACATGCAATGTAAATGAAACTTAAAGCGTGTATACAAGTATGCAGTTATGGGCTGGCACTGTGGTGCAGCAGGTTTAAACCCAGAGTCTGCAACACCTGCATCCCATATGGGTGCCAGTTCAAGTCCCAGCTGCTCCACTCCTGGTCCAGTTGCCTATTAATGCACCTGGGAAGCAGAGGAAGATGGCCCAAGTCCTTGGGCTCCTGCATCCATGTGGGAGGTTAGGATGGAGTTCCAGGCTCCTGGTTTTGGGATGGCTCAGCCTCAGCCATTTGAGGAGTTAATTAGCAGATGGAAGATCAGTTTCTCTATTTCTACCTCTGCCTTCCAAATAAACTTTTTTTTAAAGAGTTTGCAGCTAGAAAGAGGAAAAACAAAGTCAAAGCAGAGGATATACAGCTCCGGAGTGTGAGAGGTGTGGAGCTTCCTAACAGTGGTCAGCAAGAAATGTTACATCCGGAATTATATCATCACTGCAGTCATCAAGTATCTGGCAAAATAGTAATTCTAAAAACTATTAA